GTCAGTACAGTTTTCTCAATGAGTTTAAAAGCTAAAAGTATAATATTTGCAGGATATATGTAAAATTCTGAGCTGAACAAGTTTACTTAAGACATCAGAACAGATTTCTTAGTAAAATAAATAATTATAAGCATTTTTGTATGAATGATTTTTTAATTACTTTTTTGTGCAATTGATTTGCAGAAAGAGTTTTTTTTTACTTTTTAAATTTAATACATAGTTTATATAATATATCTTATTGAATATCATCAAACCTTACAACTGACAAATTAATTTTTATAAATGGGGTGTGGTGACTTAGTGAAGTGGATAAGTTGTCAACCTTTCAAGTAGTAGGTTGAGAGTTCAAAACCACTAACAGCAAAAATTTGGAAAACCACCTATGTTACATCAGTGTATATGGGCATCTGTGCAATGCTAGAATTACACAGAGGAATGCAAACTGACATTGAGAAGTGCAAACACAAGATAAGTCCTTAAAACTGGTACTACGGCAATAGTTATCTATCAATCAGTTGGGATCAGAACCTGTAACACAGTTACACCAGGTAACTGGCAGGTCATGGAGCATCTATAGCTATGTAAATCCATGAATTAGGATAACCAGAAGCCTACTTGGGAAGACCTAATTAGAGAGATAACATGGATCTTTGACAGTACTACTGTAAAGGCTAGACCTAGGAAACAGATACCAATATGGAAGGAATCAGGCAGGCAAGAACCTCGGATGAGGGGTACCATCAACCAGGCCACTGAAAGTCTCGAACCAGAGGAAAAGGACCTTGAGAGGCAGACCCTAAGGTACTAGAGACAGGTTACAGTCCTATCGGGCTATTTGAATTGGGAGTCTGAGGTCAGAAACAGGAGTATACTAAAGTACTAGAGATATGCTGTGAAGTCAGTACTAGGGTCTAGGTGAACTCTGCAAGAGCAAGCCCTGTTAACAAGATACTAAACATGGGTAGTTAGTTAGCAGAGGGCTTCCTGGAGCCCTACAGTTAGGTGACGTACTCTGAAATGTGTAATGGCTTGACAGATATACAGACAGGAAGGTCATGATTAGGTTAGATAGCACTTAGGGGTATGGGAGCTTGTGCGCTATTTGTCGGTGTAAGTATAAAAAAGCATGACAGAGGTTCTATGTGATTGGCTGCGAAATGCAGCCTGCAGATCATTATTTTTTAGATTATGATTGGACAATTAAATAATATTAAATTAGCAAAAAAAAAAATTTTCATTCTTCGATCAGATCAAGTTTGATTTCACAATAGCTAAAGCTTTTTATTGTAACTAAAGTTTCAAAGTTGTAGTCACCATGTCATTGACGTGGTCTCTGTGCCATCATGGTCATTGTAATCACCGTAGTAGCTGTGTTCGTTGTAGTCGCCGTGTTCGTCATAGCCACTGTGTTCATCATAGTCGCTGTGTTCGTCTCCATAGACATGTTTGTCGTAGCTGCTATAATTTCTCAGTAGCAGTGTTCGTTGTAACTGCTGTGATCCTTGTTATCGTTGTTTCGTAGCTGCCGTGATTGCAGTAGTGATATAAAAAAAAAAAAATCAAAAAAAAAATTTTGTTATTTGCATCAGTATACCTGTCAGTATGACTAGAAAAAATTCTAGACTCTGTTCAATAAGAAATTGCAATAGGGACTCAAATAATTTTCGAAAAATTACTTCTTTAGCATATAAAAAAATGCAAAAAAAGAGAACTTTAGAACATTATCCCTTAGATTGTAGACTTTTGCAGACAAATTTGCCTGCATAATTGTATTTTTTTGGCTCTGATCTACTTTTT